TCAAACGTTCTAAACATTTTTTTGGGACACCCTGTACATTGCCACCTTGGATAGATGCCCACGTTTTGCCTAATCGACAACTCATACTTACACAATTCTCAAAAAAGCTCGTCAAGCCTATGACGGAAGCATGACGTCAACAACAATCTGCACTCAACTACCCCTTCATCCCCTTCTCCGCCCCCTTCCCCCTGTTTCTTTTCCCGGAAATCCCGACGTACCTGCGAGCGGCACTTGAGCAGTGCCAATGACACTGTGTTCGTCTCGCCATCAGTCATGTGTCGGAAACGGCCACCGTTTAGAATTTCGCGATTTCCTTTCGACCATTTTATCGTCGGCACTGGATCGCCTTCGATTTTACATTGAAGTATGGCCGTTTCATCTGAAAGAATTGACTTTGTTACAGTAATATTACAGTAACGCTCTTTGTTTGATGTTAAGCATTCTACTCAATGCTTAAGCAGTGCCAGCGATACATCTCATCTCATCTCATCAGCTTGGGACTCTCAAGAGCCGTTCTCGAAAAGTGTTTCGCCCACTCTGTTACACATATGTGCGCGACACCATCCACCTACTAAACTTTTTTCATATCGAATACCGCTCCCAAAATCTCACGTGATTCTGATAATTTATGTTTACATAGGAGGAGAAGATCTTTGGAAATTGAGGGAATTTTTTATGGTTGTGTTGTCACACTTCGGTCTAAAGCACATGATGAACTGACGCGTTCCTATGTCACTCGCATCAATTTTCGACTTTCTCTCGGTTGCCCTTACAGCGAAAGAACTAACAGATTTTTGGGTGATGGATGACGTGATGAGTTTAAATAGCCTCCGCGATGCCACAAAATACAATTTGCTAAGCTACCAAGGAGATGCAGTACTGCTACTGTTGTAAGCTATGTGTAGCACAGATTTTCAGAATTAATTTCACCGTTTGGGGGTAGGGTAACGAACTCCGCCGTTTTTCGGCCACCTCCGCGGACATTTGGTCCTTTTGCGGCGCTCTCGAATGGCCAAATGGCAGAGTTCGCTCCCTTCCCCCTCGCCAGTTGGAGAAAACAAAACATGCATTCTTATAATAGCTCGAAAAATGAGTTCTCAAAATCAAGACTCACTTTCAACAACTGTAACACTATCCGGTACTTCTACGATTTTTGGAGGTTTTCCCTTAGTTCCTTTTGGAACTAAAGGTGTGCTGACTTTCTCCATGATTTCCTGTACAGATTCCCGTCGCATGTCGATACTGCTTCGCCGCTGTAAATGCTCAGCTTTATCTTGTTCAAGAGGTTTTTCAAAGTTAGCGCACTCATCAA